ATTCTATTAGTAATATATATGGATAGGAGAGTAGAGAAAATAAATGTATTGCATTGATGGACATCCTTTTTCATTTGACTACTTCACAATATAATTTGGATTTCTCTTAGGTTCATTATTCATGCACTTATGTTTTTCCTCGCATAGATTTTTTATAGATATCCCAAGAGGTCACATTAATTCAGAGATAATAAACAAACTGAGATTCTAGATAGCCATGACCACCTATGTTCCAAAAGAAATTTGTACTGTAATTAACTGTTCCCCTCCTCCAGCTTAGTAGATTCCAATATGCAGCAGTTGGCTTATGAAACCTGCTTATCAAAATGAACTGAACCATTTAGCACATTATAAACTTCAGACAATTTCTACTTAGATCTCTGCATTGTTAACTGCTAGGATAACTTTGATGTGGTGTAATGGTTAGCAATTACAACTGAGTAGTGAGGTTCGAACCTCACTGGGTGCGCCATTCTTTTGACCTTGTGTCACATCTAAGCTATGGTTAGAAAAATCACCATTGTTGATGTTTTTTGCTAGAGTAAGGATGATATGGACATGACCCCCCCCCCCCAAATAGTGTTTAAAAAGACTAATACATCTAGGGTGAAATAGGTAAAATCTTCACCAGACAACAATAAGTAACATCAAGGTCTTTGCCAACTACTTGGAACTCATCCCCCACTGTGCATTATTGATGTAGACAAATTCATGAGACAGCCAAGAGAATACGCTCACCTAGTGAAGCCAGATGGTTTAATTGTAAATCTGAAAGAGTTAAAAGCTGTGGAAATAGAATAGGCATTGACAAAAAAGTGAATAAAATAGTGAAGTCTTCTAAAGACTGTATTATTAAAAGCCTGATTGACCTTGGAGTTCATGTTCAACAGACAGTGAGGAGAAAACATTTCATGTGGGGTATACTTCTGCCAACAGCAGAAAATTGCATAATCTTAACAAAAAATGGATGGCATTTTAATCTTATGTTAAATTGAAAGGCTTTTAGCGCCATCCCAGCTGGTTGGATTTAGGCTGTTGGAAACTGTCTGTGATCATATCTGGGAAGAAGCTGATATATTGGTATTGCAGGGAAATGGGCCATCTTTCAGCACTTTACTCAGGAAAGAAATCTCTAGCAAAGCAAATGCTGATCCTCTGCCAAGCACAGAAACATCAAAAATGATTTTTCCTACCTCTTCTGTCCTGAGCAATTGAGTAGACCTGATGACAGACCCTCCAAAATACCAAACCCTCCACCGCCACCACCACTACCACCACCATTGTCAACAACGAAAAGACCTCAGAGCTCCTCAATTGAAAGTTCAGAAGAAGCCCTCCCCTATAAAAAAAACATAAACAAAAAAATTAAGTTCCAGGGAAGACATTTGCTGTGTTGATCCAGGCATATTAGAAAAACATCTTCAACCACAATGCCTGAGGGACCTAAGAGTCCTCCAGAACTTTAAGGTTGAAAATAAAAATATGGATGATCCTAGGAATTTCTCTTGGGTCCAAAGTATTGTGTTGTCCAAGTTAGTTTGAGCATACAGTAAATATAGTTTATGAAACAGGGAGACAAATTCTTCCATCAAAATGAGAATAGATACAAAAACTTGACAGTTCTATTCTGGGAGGGTTCCCATTTTCTTGTACCCATCCCTTTATAGAACCTTAAAGCTCTCTTTCCTGAGGGATATCAGGAGGTGTCTCAGGACAGCTCTATAAAGATGGAAATGAGCCAAGGATCTTTGGGACATGTCATCAGTGTTCTGACTCCTGGCAGGAAAGTTTCAGTTGGACAGTGCGAGTAAGCTTTGATCATAGCTCTCTGGTTAGCAAGTTGGAATGCATGAGGGTTGAGAATTCAAATTTCAGAAATGCCTCAGTGGTGTGGCTGTGTTCGTATAAATGTGGTATTATGGTGCAAGGAACATTAAAGTGTGATTGGGCCAGTGAAGGTGACTAGCTAAGTTAAAGTTAAGACAGTGATGACTCCCTCCTGCATTTTCTTGGCCATGTGTAAAATTTTGTATAATTTGTGGGTTACCTTACTTCACTCCACCAATGGTGTTCATTAGGCAATGCTCTTTAAGTCTATAAAAAGGTAATCAAATTCTCTCTTTTAAACGCTTCCTTTCAGAATTAGGTGCACATTGGTAAAGTGTCCCCCCTCCCCCATTGGGAACATTCATTTTCATAACTGAACTCTTGCACACACTCACATATTTTACACAAAAAGTTACTTATATTGCAAAATTAAATATTTTTTTTATATTTTGTACAAAAATAGTTACTGTAAATTAAATTTTTATACCTTTAACATGGAAAATACAGAAACCTGATTGAAAGAGTGCTTGAAAAAGGCCTATGTGATATATAATTCTCCCATACTGTTAATATTAGACAATGCACCAACTCACACTGAAATAAAAAGAAAGTATTTTTAAAGGATGAATTTAAGGACAAGATTCTGAAATTTGGGCCATAGGTCCCATGCTGAATCCTATTGAGTCTGTGTAGTCTGCTATGAAAGCATGTCAAGATAGAATATATGGACAATATTGATAGAAGAGAATTTGAATTGATTTTCAAAGGTTGAATATTGTGTAAGAAAATTGAGTTTATAGAAGATAGTGAATGAGGTATAGGTTCTGAAATATGGGTATTTTTTATTAAATGCATCCAATATTTGTTTATTGATGTGTTAGAATTAAAAGATGCTAAATTTTAATCTGTTGTGTTTTTATTAATTATAATCCATACTTTATTTTCAAGTTTCAATTAATATTGTTTTCATAATTTAAAACGCTCTCCTTTTTTAACCCCCCACCCTCCCATAGGACTCAGCTCACCTGTGTTTAGTACCATTTTACTGTGGGGTAAAAATTGTTTTGGTATGTTGATTTACCTTTTGAATTTTGAAAAGATTTTCTATGAAAAACAAATTCTGAAAATAAAGTATAATGGCTTATGAGTTACCAATAACAAAATTAATATCTTTATTCAACATCATTTTGAATATTTATTTATGCAATATGTACATAAAATGTGGTATGAGGCTTATTCTTTAATTAGTTATTCACCACAACATCTCATTTATTTTACTTTTTTCATAAAATCGTAGGCCAAAATACTGCATTTTTTATTCATAGAGATTGTGTTCAGCTTGTCTGGTTTTTGCATGGCCGCACGTTGAGAGCGCTTCTTTCGACTGAGAAAAACACTGGTGTTATATAGCTCTCTCAGTATGCAGACCCACACTGACTATTGGCTACTACCTGCCCAGTATCATTCATATCTAAATAGTCTGCACCACCTACTCTAAGTAGGTCTTCTCTCATTAGCCCATTGTGGAAGGGGACGCAACTCCTGTAGCCTACAGCCGCGCTACAGCTCCACATACAACCAACTCGGAGTCTTTTATCAGGCTAAGCCAATTCTCTGTTACAAAGATATGTACAATTTTATTTATATGGAAAAGACATAAAAATTTACAAAAATGAATAATATACAATGAACAAAAAATGTAGAAGCATAGTTTGAATAAAGTGTTAGAGGACCCCATCCTCTCATCTTAATTGCTGCATAAAAATTGAGTTGACATATTGAAAAATTATTCAGCACTTTCAAAATATGTAAAAGACCGTATGCTAATTTTACTAACCATACTCACATTGATTTAAGACATTCACTTAGCTTAGTTTGGCGCAATGCTGCATGGAAGAGGCATCCAGTTGTAAAAACTGAAATTGTTGACTGGCTTCTTAGAAGCAGTGAATAAAATTGGTGGTTGATTATGAATATGATGATGCTTAATCAAGAATTTTCATGTCTTAACTTTTTCTTTAATGTACATATAATAATTTTCCCTTACCTAACATAATGTCATTAAAACATTTCAGTGGTGCATATACCTAAAAATGTGACGTACGTTGATGAAATATTTTTGGTTACTTTATTTATGACGCAGAGACACGCATTTTTAATTTAATTGAAAAAATTTTGCATGAATTTTGTACTTTAAATTCACAAATTATCAATTCTTTGTTGCTCTATAAACAAAACACTACGTTCTCTCTCGGGCAAACATTTATTAGGAAATTAATAAACTGTCACCGTCGGATATAGTTTGACACCGGGAAGTTAAGATTTTGCTTCTTTTTCTTCGTTTGTTAAATTTTGGAACGGTTACGTTTGAGATTATTATTATGTATTAACACGAATTGAGCGACTTGTGCAATTTCTACTTTTAAACTAGAAAATAATTTTCGCCTGGTTCAACTGTGGAACGAAAGTTTTGTAAGTAGTTAAGGAACGACACATTTTTAAAATTTCTCTATCTTTTATTTACCTCAATGGGCAAAAATAAACGATGGACGATTTTTGTCGGTTCTTTTGTCATATTCATTTTATTTTTAATTGCCAACAAGGACTGTTCTGCTGAAGAAGATCTTTATAATGTTTTGGATGTTAGTCGAACAGCCAGTTTGGAAGAAATTAAACGGGCCTACAAAAAACTCGTGAGGATCTGGCATCCAGACAAGAATAGTGACCCGCAAGCAGTTGAAAAATTTTCAAAAATCTACGAGGCTTATAAAATCCTGTCCAATAGCGAGAAGCGATCACTTTACGACAGTCACGGTTATGCAGCTACCCAAGAACAGCAACGTCAGAGTGACCAAGGAGGTGGGGATTTTCCATTTTTCTTCAGAAACGGACCATTCGGCAGTTTTAGCTTTAATTTTGGCAGTGAATCCATCATTGATAAATATATAATAGGTCTGCAGACCTACGAAAATCTAATTTTACCAGAAAGTTATCGTAAACCATTTTTTTTGTACGCTTATGCTGATTTTTGTTTTGCTTGCATGCGTTATGAACCAATAATTGAAAAATTAATTAAAGACCTTGAAAAAGTTGGTATTGGCATCGGTGCTGTGCATGTGTCATCCAGCCGTGGACTTGGAAATAAGTTACGTATATATGAAATCCCAATGATCATGGCTGTTATAAATGGCAAAGTTTCATATTTCAAGGGTCGCGTCTCACTCCAAAACCTCCGCGACTTTATACGTAATATTTTCCCAAACAATGTTGTTCAAATATTAAATGATGATAATTTGAATGACTTCCTTACTGGATGGTCAGATAATCGAGTGCGAGCCCTTTTCTTTACTGCCCGGGACAAGCCACCTGTCCGTTTCCTTCTTCCAGCTTTTGGGCACAGAGAGAAAATTGCAACTGGCTTTGTGAATACAAAGAGCACCTCTGGAATAAACATGATTTTGCGTAAATATAACATTAATCGTTCCAAGGACACATTGATAATTGTGGCTGAAGAAAGCAACACGAGCATTGCCATTGTCACGATGCAGTCATTGTCAAAAGGAAGCATTGAAGAAGTAATGGAAGCTAATCAGTATCTGATGCTACCCCGTCTCTCCTCTCAGACATTCTTTGATGACTTGTGCCCTGCTGAAAGTTATGTGAAGCATCGAAAGTTCTGTGTGATTCTCGTCACCAAAAAGACAGCAGATCATGATTGTTATCGGTCATCATTCCGTTCATATGTGCAGCAAGCACCAACTTTTCAGGATCGAGTTAGATTCACTTATATTTATAGGGAAACCCAGTATCAGTTTGTTGATGCCCTAATGAATGGCAATTCCTCTTCTGAACCTGATGAAAATACTTTGAAACTTACAATCCTCTGGCGCTTTGACAAGAAACAAATGAATTATGAATGGGTTGAGCCAGGGTGGAGCATGGACAGTCAACGTAATGCTCTAACACGTGAAAATCTTGAGAAACGTCTTCAGCAATTGTTTACAAACACTGATCGTCTTTTGTACACTGCCATGATGCCTGACCTGTACAATGAGCACTCACTTGGTGGTCTTATGGGTCTCCTTGTGCATTTATCAGGAAGGTTTACTGATTGGTGTGACTATTTATTCTTGATTTTTAGCAACATGGATTTCTTCACATGGTCTATTATCTTATTTGCAGTAGGAACAATGTTGCGTTTTGGCCTCCTCTCGTTACGGCAGCTTTTCAATGAAGAAATGGAACAGAAAACACAACAGGGTCATGGCTCAGCTTCCAGACATGGATGTGCACAAACACCATCTGTGAACTACAACTCTTTATGTATTTATGAACTGAGCAACAAGTCCTACAATGATCTAGTGAAGTGTGCAGAGGGATGTCTCACTGTCACTCTGCTGGTTGATCACAAATTACAAGACAGATTGCTGGATATATTCACAAGAGCAGTGAGACCTTATGCATCCTCCCCTACACTGAGGTTCAGTTATCTCCTCCTTGACAAATATCTTTGCTGGTATCGGCAAGTTCTTGATAACAGTGATGGTCAGAGAGTACAATCTTCTAAGTTTAACATACGTAACTCCATTGGCACAATTCTTGCTATCAATGGTTACAGACGGTATTATTACATATTTCATTCCAAGTGTCCACAAAAGTGGACCCAAATGGTAAATTGTGGACATGGGGAAGGCCTCTTTGATTCTGGGTCCAATTCTGAAGATGAAGCAGAAGAAGTAGACACTTTGATGGAAGGACTTGAAAATTGGATGGACAAAATATTTGATGGGATGGTGCGAAAGATTAGAGTATCTCATTGGCCAGAAATGAACCATTCTTCTCTTCCTCTGTGAATCCATGTCCTGATGCCATTCACATCTAAACTCTTCTATTACTGACATGTTTTTGATAAAGTCAGGATTCTTAGAGAGCAGCAGTTGTAGTAGTAGTAGTAGTAATAATAATAATATTTGCTGCTGCTACTACTCCTCCTCAACTTGTATCTTTGTGTTTTTCAAGTTTGCCCCCAAAATGTTACATGACATTTGAAGATCATTTCTATTAATCATGCTGTAAATTTTAATTTATATTGTTGGTTAAATTTTGATTTGTTATATTTTGTCTATTTGACAAAAATGAATATTTTGGCTCAGAAGTGTATTATTTAAAAAACCAAAACAAAAAACTTTGAAAATTTCATTTTCATGACATTCCACTTTGAAAAATGTTTTTTATACATCACATTTTTATTTTCTCAAATAATTTTTTTTGATTTGTTGTGTTTTTAAAAAGTTAATTTGAAATTTGATTTTTCAAAGCCTGAAGTCTTTCATCTTTGCTTTTCAAAATTGTTACTTTACATCCAATCACAGTTTGTTTTCAAATTGGAACTGCCAATAATGTAGCTTTGGATTGAATAAGAATTAACACTTAACATAGGTTACAAATGTCAACTTAAGTACAATAACAAAATTTGTTAATTTCAGTTTTACTATTTATGGTGTGTAAACATAGGCATATTGGGGAACAAGAACAGATAGTTAATGTGCCCCAAATGAATAAAAATATAAGTATCATTTTTTTTTTTATTATTAATGATATACAACTCAAAATCACAAGTCATGTAACTTAAAAAATATTTTCTATAAGTCATTTAAATGTCATGTATTTGGTCTACACATCTTCCAGCAGACATGTTAGCATACTTTCACTCAATATCTGGTATTGTCTCACTGTTTAACGGTTTCATATTTGATTCCTTGTATTGTCAGATATGTCTTCATTTATTTGAGGTTAGTGCAGGAACACTTAGAAGAACATGTAGCAGGAATGCTAGCCAAGGTATCAGTGATTTTGTTGGAGTCTGGCAGTAAACCATAAAGATCATTAACAACACAAACTGCAGTGAATTTGACACATGTGTATGATCCATAACAAACTTTGTTTAGCATGCCTTTTCTGCCTTTAGGAAGTTCTAATCAGTACTCTAATGTGATGTAACAGGTTAATTGTTCAGGATAATAGAGCCAAGTGCACAAAATATGTCTTATTCATTAACATTAAATTATGATTCCAATTCTATAATAAACTTATCCAGACTGAAATAAGTAGATATGTGATGACAGTCTTTGGCAGTTTCAAGCAAAATATGAAGTAAATGCATTGTTACAATTTTTGTTTCTTCATATCTACATGACAACTTTGTTAACATTGAGATTTAAGTGTGTATGACATGTTTTGTTTTTTTTTCTTTTGCATATTACTTTCAAACAGTACATACTTTTTGGGAGTGTTCTATAGAAATGTCCTCCTAAATATTCATCTGAGATGATGGGTAAAAACAGGTGTAATTTGTTGGGCAAACAATGCAATGGGCCGAGATGTGGTTGAGGAAAGTTAGTTAAAATTACTGACAGCAACAAACACATTGCTTATATTGGCAGACTACCATTATTATAGCGTTTATATTCTTTTTCAACTGATGATTAGAATTAATGTGCCATCCAGACAATTACAAAAATATGATGAAAGACTTCCTGATTTCTTTTTGAGTTACAAATCAAACACATTGGAACTTTTACTCAATTCAGCTGAAGTCTGACATTTCATCAATAATAATGGAATATTCTGAGCACTTTATAACATCATTTATACTAAAACAATCTCATATCAAGTGTTTTGTTATGTACAACAGATGTGTGCATGATGAGGCCCACTGCATCTGTGCCTCTGACTTTTCAACTTCTCTCCAAGTTAAGCAATATCCTTGGATTGCAGATATAGAAGTTCCAAAAAGTTATCACCATTGGAAAATTAGTGTGGTCCTCTTCACAGTCTTTTATTTTTTTTTATTAGATATTGAACAACAGATTCAATAATAATATATTGTTGTACCTTTGTCTGAGTGCTATGATTAGTTTTCTTAACAACAATGTTTTGTTGGTTTTGGTCTTAGTTGATTGTCATCAGATGAATGAAGTGGAGAAACAAATGTCATCAGGGAAACAAGGATAAAGTTTTTAAACCATTCACTCTTGAAAATTCTTAAACTCTACTCCTTACCAAATTTACTTTTTATCCTGTGAGAATTTCTTTATTTGGTCCAGTTTAAGTGATACTGCCCTGTAGAGGCATTGGAGATTTACAGATCACATTCATTTTTATCACTTGAAATATTATTAGATTCAGAGGAACCACGTTCTGTAGAAACTTTTTTCTTTTATTTCAGTAATATTGTGTTTATTTGTTTTTATTACACTTGTTTTTTTCTTAATTTGAAAAAAGAAATAAAGAAGCACCACCCATTGTCATTTTGAACATTGGTTGAGCAGATGAAAAGTCCTGAAATGTTATTCTTTGTAATCAGAATCTAATCACTTGCTGCATTTCACATTTTCATTTCATTTGATGTGTTGTCAATAAAATTGTTTGCATGTTTTTGTTTTGTTTTCCCACTGTGATATTTGGTGTACAAAAGATTTCCTTAGGGTGTGCAATAAAATATAGAAAATAAATAAATATTAAAATTTGCACTTCCAATTCTAAAAACTCAAATAAACAATATCTCAACTTGTGTATGAAATTAAGTGGATTGTAGAATCAACTGGAGCATGGTAGCCACAGTATTTCAGTCCTATCTAATTTATAAGAAAATGGCTTTTGGATGTACAATATTACTCCAGGAGAGGAGAATGCAAATACACCATTCTATGTTTTAGCCACTGAAAGCATGAAAAAGATTTTAAAATCAACCATATTTTCTAACCAATTACCACCTGTTCTATTAAATGTTATCAGTTCTGAAATTCTAGATAAGCTAGAATTGTATATATTAGAATTTTGTTTTGAAGATTACCAACATTTATAGTCAATAATTCTTTCAGTCAAGTGGTCAGTGTAAGAAAAAAAATTTTTTTACTAAACAATCCCTTGATGTTTCAGTCAGTGTAGGTATGTTGTGGATTAGATTTATAACCCCATAATTACAAGATAACATATTAATGATATTCTCTTGTTTCCAAAAAAATCTCAAAGACTGTCATAGGTATAGAAAGAAGTGTCAGGTTTCAATCCTTTAATCGGAGTTGAAAATTTGTAGCAGTATTCTTGATTTAATTCTCTCTCTCTCACCTTGTAAACTGCCATATGATTCAAGTTCTTATATGTGAACCGTTTATTATTTACTATGACAAAAATAAAAATTAAGAAAATGAGTTTGAAACTAAAAAATATGCATGCATGTTTTCCCTAAATATGGGAAGTGTGTTGTGGGTGGGTATCAATAAAATTGTAGTAATTTACACATATTATTTGTGTTGCAATTAAGTAAATTGCGGGTAGAACGATGGCTGAAAGTCTATTGCTAGAAAGATAAAGAAAAAGGAATTTGAAGCTTGTCACAACTTCTAAGTTCCTCACCCCCTGCATTGAGGAAAGTTAACAGAGTTTATATAAATTTGACGTTTTTTTCTTTCTATACTAGATAATGACTGGATTGGTGTAGAAATCAAACTGACGGGAGAAAAAAAAAAAAAAAAAAAAAAAAAATTTAAAGGTCGGAAATAATAGAACCGAAATTTGAATTTCTCTTTACGGAAAAAGGGAGGTAACTCCAGAAATATGAAATGTCAAAATTCTGATGATTCATATTTTTCAAATCATGTTCTTGCAATGTATTCAACTGTTCTGTAAGGCAAACTAGCAATTCTCCATTGGTTTTAAGAAACTGCACAAAACTCGGGTGTGCGCAAGTCAGTGGTCATAATCCATGTTTCTGCATGGCCTGCGTCAATCCTGTTCTGCCTTTGCACAGTATGGTCAGATTTATAGGCAACAGGCTTGTGTCCTGTCACCTTTGTCCAAGAAAACAATTAATCTTACTTCTGTCACTTCCTCTCAGTCTGCACCTCTTGTACTTTGAAGGTGACTCCAATTACTGATAGCTGTCAGACGAAAGTAAGTGTTCCATATCAAGTTGTCTTAAATTTAACTTGTATTGCTACACTACACAAACATCTTTCTATGTCATTATCTGAAATCTGTTTTCACTTTGTGAATTTCAGATTTGCTTTTGCATAAAATTATTCCCAATGTCAAACTGTCAATCATTTTATAAAATAGAAAAAATTAACTGAAAAGATCAAGAATTCTTTTTGTACATTGCTGTTTTGATATGATGGTCCAAGTTTTTTGGCTACTTGGATTTAATAATTAACTGTTGCTTTTAGCAGCTGAGACTGTCAAATCACTTCTTCATTTATAAATTTCTATAATAGAATATATAATTATTTGCCTGTGCTAATTATCAATATGTTGATCATCACTAAATGACATATCAGTGATAGAGACTGGTATGTTAGAGAAGAGATACTTCCCTATCATCTTTAGAAAAATAAAAGAAGAAAATGACTAATTAGCACTTAATAGACCTTGGATACTTTGAAATCATACTTAATTTATTTGGAAACTAATGATCTGATTGAACTGGACTTTATATTTCCAGTCTAATTTAAGAGACTTGTACAAAAAAAAACAAAAAACGTACTACTATGTGTAGATTTTGTTGTTAGAGCAACCAACAGCAAAATTGGGTTGTTATAACATAGTTAACAGGTCAATTTTTTTTTATTGTTGAAACAAATGTACATTTATACCTATTTATGTAAATTTAAAATTTCAAAAATTGTGCCGTAGGTTTCAATTTTGAAACAAATATCTATTATCCATGCTTATAATTTTAACTTCATAATGGATAATGGGACTGTCACTTTTATGAAGGTAACTAGGGCAAAAAGAAAGCATCTATAATTGAACTTATTTGGCGGGTGATTATTGAAAACACATGAAATAGTCT